CCTATTCCACATATTCCTATTCCACATATTCCTATTCCACATATTCCTATTCCACATATTCCTATTCCACATATTCCTATTCCACATATTCCTATTCCACATATTCCTATTCCACATATTCCTATTCCACATATTCCTATTCCACATATTCCTATTCCACATATTCCTATTCCACATATTCCTATTCCACATATTCCTATTCCACATATTCCTATTCCACATATTCCTATTCCACATATTCCTATTCCACATATTCCTATTCCACATATTCCTATTCCACATATTCCTATTCCACATATTCCTATTCCACATATTCCTATTCCACATATTCCTATTCCACATATTCCTATTCCACATATTCCTATTCCACATATTCCTATTCCACATACCCCTATTCCACATATCTCTATTCCACATATCCCTATACCATATTTCCAAATCCTTAAATCCCAAATCCTCAAATCCTCAAATCCCAAATCCCTAAATCCCAAAAAACTTGTACATGATATCCACCATCGACCTTACTAAAGAACCCAATAAATCCAGGCCTAACCGCGTTAAAAATCCTAGTTACGAATATCCCTAAAGATTGAAGAGGCCTAGGATAAAAAAGCCGAAAAGCGCGGTAACCTCGCGAAAAGTCCCCTCTAGTATGCACTTGCTCTCCCTACTGAAAAGTGGCTGTGAATTGGGAATACTTAAAGAGAAAAGAAAAGAATACAATCCTGGCCAACTAACTGGTCGAAGTAAAAGTAGAAGCACCTTTCCTCCCCTCGTAGCCGCTCCCGTGCTTCTTGTCTCGTTGTATAAGGTTTCACATTGTCTCGTGGAAACAAAAGGCAGGTAGCTTATGCCCTGCATTCAAAAGCTCGCAAAGTTCAGTCTCAAGTGCTTGTCTTTTGCCTAGACCCTTCTCTCGCTGCTTCTCTGTTTCTCAATTTTCTTCCCTTTCCATTTACGGATTTCTCTATATTCAACGGGTGCACAACTCCTCCGGTACCTACGTTTCCCGTACTCCCTCGGTTTTCCTTATTCTTTGGTATTCTCTTTGCGGAAGCTAGCCGGTTACTTTCAAATTGCCTTCCTTGTCTCCTTCGACTTGCCCGTTTCTCGTCCGCCGCGTTCAACTTCCTCTCTTTGCCCGTTAAACTTCTTCTTCTTCTGCTTCCTCCTACCCAGCTTCCTCCCTCTTTGATGCCCGTCAACCTAATTAATTAATATTAAGCGGGGAACTGTGTATTTTCTGTTTCCCGTTCGTCTTCCTAACCGAACGGAAGCTTTCACGCGATTCGCGGAAAATTGAACCGTCAGTCTCGAAGCTGCATTAGGGTGGCCTCTTATTTTACGCTTTCGAATTTTTCCTACGCTTCCTTCCCAGATAATCCTCGTAAAATTTTCAACTTTATCGGATAACGATATTCTTTGAAAAATTAAATATACCTCTTTCGAACACAGGGAAAATTTGATAAAGTATCATATTGAATACATTAAAAAATGATATTACGTTCATTAAAATTATCTCATCATTATCAAAATTATACTACATTAATTAAAATTATATTATCTTATTGCATTGTTAAAATTCCAGTGTTACGTTATATTGATTAAAATTATATTATTGCATTACATTAATTAAAATTATAGAAAAAATTGTTGATTGAATTTGATTTTAACTAATGCGTGTTTACTTGTCCTCCTTCGAAGTTCGATACGGAACATAAAGCTTCTTCGAGTTTTCAGAAATCAGTTCTTTTTATGTCCGAGCTTTTATATTGCCTCGATGTATGGACGAGGATCTTTCTGTCCGAGTTCTCAACAACAACCGTAATAAGAAATCAGAAACCATAAAAAAGTTCGAATAACAAAATTAGTAAAGCAATCACGACAGCGAGACCTAATTTCACTTGAATCAGTAACTAGTTAATTAAGGTCATATTTTTGCAAATATTATTATGGTTTGTGAGATAAGTTGAGACCAAAGTAACTTTAATAATGTTTAGTAATGTTCTAGGGCAAGCATGATTAAACTAAAATTTTTAAATTTGTGTCATTCACAAGTTCTGAACCTAAATCATTGTCTACAACAATATCAAATATCCTATAATAATAGAGCTAATAAAAGCAATATCAATAAAAACCGTAATTTTTCTTAATCTCCAACGAAGCATTCAAAGCATCATGTCCAAGCGATATATCAAAATCCGAACATCTGGCAAAGTTACAACGATAAAGTGGAGATATGTACCGCTCCAAGGCAATTTTGCGTTGCTCGCAAGAAAAGATAGTTTTCTCGAACGCGATTCAAGTTTTTTTCGTATCACGCGTGGTATGCGATAAAGTATGAATGTGGGTTAGGATGATTCGAGAACTGTGACCGAGTCAAGAATGTTCTCTTCAAACTTCTTTTACATTTCTCTGGGAACTATGTCTTTTGACCTGACCGTCACGAAATCTTCCCCACTACGCATACGATTTTCATCGAATTTCGTCGAAACTCTGCATAAAACATACTACGACCCCATGATTTATGGGGACGTAGAAACTTTTCAAACTGTATTTCAATAATTGTTAGTGGGGCAATTTTAAGTTAATTTTATGTTATATTATTATTTGAGGATTTGGGGATATTATTTGTGGAAGTTGACAGAAATATCTGGGAATCTAAAAACATGGGGATGTAGTTGTTTACTGTGTATATGTAGATTTAAGGATATATTGATTGAGATTATTACATGTATTTATATATTTTACGTGTGTAAGAATCTGGGGATATAAGGATGTACAAATACGGGACTGCAGAAGTACAGGAATACGCGGACGCTTGTTCACGTTCGCGAGCAACCGCTAGCTTTCACTACCGCGCTATGATTGGTCCGCGTTTTTGCTTAATAATTCAAAAACGAAGCTTCATACCTCATTTTTGCAAAGACAAATCTTATTCAAAATCACCTCAGCTACCCCCTATTTCAGAGAAAGGGTAGTCTCTAATTGTGAGACACCCTGTATGATCTGTTGAAATATAGAGACAGAAGTCTAAGAATTAGTGATGTGATGAATGTAACTATCCAGAAGAGACTGTAGAAATCTAAGAATAAGATGTAAGAAATATAAGAATCTATAGAAAATCTAGAAACACATGTAAAGAATAAAGGAATCTAAAAATATATGAACACAGACAACATAAAAATCTAAAAACACATGTACAGAATAAAGAGCGCTAAAAATATATGAACGTAGACAATACAGAAATCTAGAAATATCCGAATGAATCAATCTAAAAATATAGGAATATATGAAATCTCTATTCGCATAGCTTCTCCAAATTTTTAATCACCAATATTAATACTCGCGAATGAAATGTTTTTGTTCGAAAACCGATATTTGGTCGAAATACCATTGATAATCTCTTACGTCTGGGTCACTATCAAAAATAAAAGCGATATCGATCAGAAATTACCTAGAGAAAGATTCATATCTTTAGACATTTAGAGAAGTAAAAGCAATTTGAATGAATAGCTCAGAAACCACTGAGAAACAATGGCATTGTCTCGAGCCGAGAGATTCACCTTTCGACTTGTGAATCGTTTCAGACCGACGAGTACCTTACAGCATACCGTCGGACTGGAAGACACTTTGGTTCAGCAATCTGGACGAGTTGCAAAGAGTGAACGATGCGAACGATAACAACACCGTCTCCAACGTCACGGTGCAGTTGGGAGGGACAGCCTTTTTGCATTGCAAAGTTCGCAATTTGGCCGAAAGAACGGTGTCCGACGCCGAGGTAAGAAGCCGCGTTATCGGCATCGTTCGACCGAGAATGGATCGGGTGAAACTGTGCTTTATCACTGACCGAACCCTAACAAGAAAAGCGTTGATCAACGATTTCGACCCGGCTGTTTCCAGATATCCTGGATACGACGACGTGATTTCCACATCCTAACCAGCTCGATGTTCACGTACACGAACGACGAGCGGTTTCAGGTTTTGCATCCAGAGGGATCGGACGATTGGACGCTTCAAATCAAGTACGTTCAAGAGAGAGACAACGGGACCTACGAGTGCCAGGTAATGCGATTAATTGCTACATCGCAAAAAGATTGCGCACCTGATCGTTAAATCGCTTCCAATTCTACCTCTCTTTCGTTTCAATCGTGTTAGCTTGAACACCTAGGTTGAACTGGCCCTTTGTGCTCCAGGGTATTGCTGAACTTTTTAGATTGAAAATTTGGTCCATTCTTTTGAAGTTATTATTAATTGTCTGTTTCGCGTATCACATCATATGTATAAGACTTATCACATCACATGTGTAAGACTTATCATATGCATGAGACTTATCACAACATATGTATAAGATTTATCACATCATATGTATCATACATTTAGGTAAAAAATACCTGTGCAAATCATTCTATTAAACAAGACACTTATTAGCAAAGAGCTAACAATTCAATATTTTGCAACAAAGTAGTATGAAATTAATTTATGACCAATGAATATAAATACAGTATTCCCAGAATTGATATAATTGTGCATTCACATATTTGTACAAATTCAGAAAATGCAGCAGCGTATGAAATGCATACAAAGCGACTTCCTAGAACACGCATAATTGTGGACAATTCCACGAGTTTAATTTAACAGAAAATTGTCCAAATTCGCATAAAATGCGCATTTCGCGCAAAGTTCATAATTATGGACAATTTTAGAAGAATACAACATAATCGTTTGACAAAGTAAAATGCATCGCCATAGGCAATTTTACAACAGTTCTGTAACTTGCATATTTATAGACAATTTCACAGGAAAATTACATAAAATGTGTATACTGTGCACTTTTGAAGAATTCATATAAAATATGTATAGGTTTTACAATTTTTGCATATAAAATGCATAATTACACTGTGACATCAATTTTATGAAGAATGTATGATTATAGGCAATTTTATAGCACGGTTTCATGAAATTTTTATTGAAATGCATAATTTTTGGGAATTTATATAGAATGTAGGTAATATTGCAACAGGTTCATATAAAATATATGAGGAATGTTATATAAATTGCATAGCTGTGTAATTATAAAGAATTTTGAAATAATTTCATGTCAAATGCATGTCTAATAATTTTGAAATGATTTCGTGTCACATTTATTGAGAAATTGCAACGACCTTATATTGGCTGCATATGAGATGCAATTTTACTATTACTGTATATGTAATGTATTTTTATTGATACATTACAAGAGCTTTAAATAAAATGCATAATTGTAAGAAATTTGATATGAAATGTATATATAAACAATTTATATACGAATTGCATATAAAGTGCATAATTATGAAAAATTTTACAACTGCATACAAAATGCATAATCGTTGGTAATTTTACAAAAACTGCATGTAATATGCATAATTACGGTTTTATTAATTTAACAACTTATAAAATGCAGTCTAAGAACTTCACATAAAATATACAATCACATATAATTCATATGTGAAATGCATTCCATATGAAATGCATAATTACATATGATTTTACAATGACTTCATACAAAATGTCATTATAGAGAATCTAACAGAAAGTACATATACGATTTGTGCAACTTGATAAAAAAGAGATAAGGAAGTTCACATTGTTCACATGGATCGTGGAAAGTAACTTTTGATACCGAGATGCATGCACCCAACGGTATGCATGTACAATTGTTTTAATCGGCCAATTTGAATTATTAATATCTAACCACGGTTCTCGAGTGCACCCACGAAAAGGGGCAAGACGTTTAATGCGGCTGCAATATTTCGTAGTAGAACGCGCTCGAAACCCTTGGAAACGGGTCGATTTTAATGGGAGACCGCACACGAACGGTGCAAGCAATGAGATTCGGTGCACCGGTTTCTCTGGTCTGTATACGCGCGAAAACAAATAAACAGAGGAATCTCTGTAAACTAGCTTCCGGAAGACGAGTTTTAGTGTCCGTTCTAACACATTTCAAAGCCGACCACTTACACTATATAGAATATAGGAACAGATTGCTGCTGTTTGTACCAGGCTGTTTCATACATAAGTAATCGCGAAAGTACGGATTTAGACCAACTCTCGTTATATTGCATGAAATTCTAATTTTTTGAATAAGAAAAAACTTATTTATATATTAAATAATTTTTTATATATAAAAAAGAATATTTGCCAGGTGAACAATTTAAAAACATCTAATCTTGCAAATTTTTTAATTCTGAAAGTCACATGTTTGAAAATTCTAAATTTATAAATTTGAACATTTCTAAATTTGCAAATATGAAAATTCCAAATTTGAGAATTTATAAACTCCTAAGCCTAAAAATGTAAATTTGAAAATTTATAAATACCTGAATTATTAAAATCCTGAATTTAAAAATTCCAAAATTCAAAATACCAAAATTTAAAAATTGCAAAATGAAAAAATCCTAGTTTTGAAAATTTAAACATTCCTAAATTGAAGAATTCTTGAATTCTTTAATTTGCAAATCTAAAAGTCCCCAAATCTGGGAAGAACCAAAAAATGCAATATAGCGAGAGTCAGCTGTCCGTCTACCTTACTACCCATAAAGACCATCTGACCACCTGAATTAACTATGCACCTCGATTTAATAAATGTGTATCATCAACCCAAGCATTTTTCACAGCCCACATTTAATATTAACAATATTAAATTATTTGTTTTCACAGATCTCGAGAAGTACAGGGATACTATCACACTTTGTCAATCTAAACATAGTTATACCAGAAGCATTTATATTAGGAAGCGGCGAGCATCACGTCGATGTAGGATCCATTATAAATCTCGTATGCATCATAGAAAAGGTAAGAATCCATTAAAACCGTTGTATATTTACCTCGTGAAAATAAACAACCATCCCCCAGCGGTTAGTAATGATTAATCCGAGTTGAATTTTTCACGAATCAGATATAAATAACGATCGCAGATAATTCACGACTACATTTAACGCTTCAAACCCTATCAATATTTATGTTGACATTGGAATTTTATAAAAACATTTCTTTAGACCCTGACAATATTTACAATTTTTATTTTCACGAATTATCTTTGAACTGAAAATTAAAGTTCCATGTTTGTCAGGATTCTACAAGTTCTCCACAATTTTTTTCGGTATAAAACTTTCTTAACTACCTCGAAATTGTTTTCGTAAACTTAATAAAATGGACGTTAAGAGTTTGTTAATAGCCACGTTTATCACTGAATAAGAACGCTTTCGCTAAGTTAGTTTTATCCTGTAACCCAGATATTAATACTTTCCATACTTGTATATTTTACTATAACAAAATAACAATAACAAAAATTATAAATAAGCTTCGTATTGAATAACAAAGTGAGAAGATACGTAAATGAATGCGGTGCATAATAAGAGTCCCGATTATTTACATCCGTATGAAATAATGGTGTCAGGCGTACACGTCGCGAATACGCGCCGCACTATCCGTGCGCTTAACGAAGGTACACATAGAAACGCACAGCTTGCAGTTCGTGCGAACATTCAATATACGGTCGCGAATGTACAGCGGGAAAAAAACCTCTAGCGAAATAGGCGCAGCTTAGTCACGAATACAAGGAGTGGAAGTGCATTAAAGCGGCATTGCCGGCGTCGCTGCAAACTCGACACTATCGGGAAACGAAAATAAAGGGTGACGTTTTTTTTTGCTCTCTCTCTCCCCGCGGCAGAAAGGACACATCCGAAGCGTCTAATGCATGGCGAGAGAGGAAAATGCTGATCTAATAGGTTTCAAAACCGTGCAATACCAAGAAAATGCACTTAAGAAATTCTTGCGCGCCAAATTGATCGCATTAACTTTGGTAACAATATGGCTTCCGGCGGAACCCGGTTATGAGAAGACACCGGTATTCGTAAATACGTTTACGCCTCGGTTTTAAACCGATTTAATACGCGCGAAAACATCACGCTAGCTCTGACGCTATCGGTGCGATAAACGTCTGTTTGAACAATATAAAAAAAAGGCGTCTACTCACGTTCGACGAACTTCCGTTTAAACTGGCTGACTCTGACGTTCTATTTTCAATTGATCCGTGCTGTACAATTGGCACTTGTATCCATCAGAGGAACACTGGTCACACCGAGCACAAAACATGCGGAAAATACTGCGCACACAACAGAATTTGTTAGTTTGCTCGAACGAACAACCGGCAAACTATCGCGCCAAAACATGTCTGACCAATTAGAACAAAAGTGACGCTACCGTGTTGCACGCCGTGTTGACACCTATCGATCGTTTCGGAAATTAGTCCTGGTTTAACTTGATCACGTTAGGTGGCGAGCAGATTTTACCTACCGAGTTTTTTTACGAATCTGTAATTTTATATTAACTATAATTAACTATATATTTTAAATATGCATGTATTCTAGAAGAAGCAAGTAATTATTTAGACTTCCTACAAATTTGCAGAGATATGTTACTGATCGTTGTAAACCTGCCTCAATGCGAATTGCGCGCGAAACAATGTGTAATGGTGGGGGGAAGAGCTAAACGATCGTGTACCAATAGAGACGTGTGTCAAGAGAACCCGCGGAATTAATACTTACGTTACAACCTGACAGTAACATTTTTATTTAAATCCATCTAATTTTCTTGCAGTGAATGGTTGCATTTATCCGTTTCAGAGTCCAACACCGCCGCAGTATGTTTTCTGGTATCATAATAGTCGAATGATAAATTATGACAACACACGGGGCAGCGTAACCGTACACACTGATCCCAGCTCGACTCAAAGTCGGCTGACGATTCGCCATGCGGTGGAATCGGACACAGGCAATTACACGTGCAGCGCCTCAAATACCAAGGCAGCATCCATCTACGTCTTTGTCACAGAAGGTAATCCATAACACTCAATGCTTCGTTATAAAAGAGAAAATCTATCAACAAGTACACACGTTCGATTCTAAAATACAACCCCCGGTGAAAAGTTTTCGATTCAAAAGCATTAAAAGTTCTGCAGGTACAAACTTCCTTACCGCCCGAAAGTAAGGATAAACCGATACCGACGGTATCGATACTTTTACTAATTACTTGTGTCGATATCTACTCGCTACCGAAACAGAAGTATGTACTATTTACTTCTATCGATTCATCCCTACTCGACGGATGCTTTCAATACGATGATAGTCCGCTCGACGTCTACTCGTGTCTATGGCACTCACTTCATTTTGGATGATACGTGAATTAACCAGTTATTAATTAGATATTAATATGAGGTATAAACAGTTCTTTTATATTTATGCGAAAATTTCTTAACGCTACTCGATGCACAGCGCATCTTTATGATTGCGTGTCTGGTGCGTTGCACTTGTATCGATGTATTCGCAACACGTTGCACTTTTAGAGCATTGCAATAGCAGAACAGCGCATTCACAACGCGTTGCATTTTCAGTGCGTTTCGTCAGTGACGCAACAGTGGTTCGTTGCATTCACGGCGCGTTACAGCAGTGACGTATTGTATTTGTGACACACTGTATCAGCAGCGCGTTGTATTAACTGCGCATAATATTATCAGCATGTTATATTAGCAACGTGTTGTATAGCCACGCGTTTAATCGCCAGCCATTACAGACCGCGTTATAATACCCTAAACGTCCAGGGCATCTCGTGGTCATCCCCGTTGTACTCTGTTATTCTCTTCCTCTTGTTATACGCGTTCTGTGTACTTCTCGTACGTTCCCGAATTATTAATCGTGTATGTTTGAAATATGTTTCAGGTGACAAAATGGCAGCCATACAGCGCCGTAAAACATCGGCCGCGGAGAGAAATTTCTGTGAATTGCTAGTACTACTTGTCACCATTGCGATAGGGGCCGTTTTAACGCGATAAGCGTTTCTCTTCGATATGTCCATAATTATTATACCGTTACTTCCGTTTGTGATAGATAGGCTACTATTCTGCGATTTTAACCCTCTATTCACTCTCCTTCTTTCCCTTTGAATGCCTGAACATCGTCATTACCATAAGCGACTTCTTGTTTTCCTTGCGTTCATCGTTCTTTTCCTCATCTTGTTTTCTTTTTATCTTCGACATCCTCCCCTCATCGTATCGTCTCTGTAATTTTTCGTTTCCTTCACCACGTTTTATTGGCTATTTAACATAATTGTTATACCATTTGATATTATTCTCGTTGTAATATTTTCTTTTTCCATTTCATCGCCGAGGTTGCCGCCGGCTGAATTATTTCAACATACGAGATTTTCATGGTAGATTGTTCTACGTGTTCTGGATCCACATCGTTACGTGCGTCTGAAATTGTAGATATACTAGCGGTTAATTATGCAGTTTCTCTCTCTTTCTCTTTCTCTCGCCTTTCTTTCACCTTTCATTCTCCATCCTGCATCTTCAATCGATTTGTGGCCGCGACCGTTACGAACCTAAGGTTAATATGATTTCAACAATATAAATTCACTTTCCACGCGAAAATTACATAAGTTTTTCATAATGCAGGGGAAGCGGCGGTTGCTTATGGATTAGCTGTAATAAAACTGGAGTGCGAAATTAAATATTCAGTGGAAGTTGCTGCTAACAAGTTTGAGCTTCCTGAATAATAAGATATTTAGTAAAATTAACGGTTGTATAAAGGTCTGATTTAATGTAACAAAAAAAACATGTTACTAGGAAATCGACCATGTGTTTGCTGGTAAAATTAAATACCGAATAAACGAATTTAATTCAAATTTACTGCACTTACCTTTCATAATGGAACTACATTTAAATAAACTTAAATTACAAAATAAACTTCCATGTTAGTATTTACATTTTATGTTCCACATAAAAGCTGTAACATCGGTGATATGAAAACAAAAAGCACTTGTTATTTTCGAAAGCACAGCGGTAAATTGAATAAACCAGTTCGACATAATGAAAAGTATTGTGAGACATTAACAATGTCAACAAAACATTCCATACATTTTGTTCTGTAACAATAATGGTGACCGCCATTTCCCCATTCTCTCCTAAACTTAATTTATATAGTGGTCTCTACTGGATAATAAAAATGTTTCAGTTAACCCAAAAATTAAATAAAAAATATACATTGTTATTCAAATCTACAGTACAATTTTTTTACTAACATTCGTAACTCATTCTGTCGTTCCTTGTCTTCTTTTCAAACGTTTCTCAACCAACGGGGCTCAAAATAATCACTGCCACCTTGTGCCAAAACGACACAAGTTCAATGGAAAATATCATTACAATATCTACTAATTATAATTTATTATAAATTAAATTATAACCAGTACTTGAACAAATAAGTCAGACATTTTATTTAAGTTTACAAGAAATTCAAAATATTAACTTATGTTGCGTCTCGCAAGAAAATGGTTGAGAAACGCAGTTTCAAATTTTTGAAATCTTTTCGAAACCGGCGGCAAATTGTTTCTCGGTAACGACACGTCTTTTAGAAGCAATATCGACATCTATGTGCCATCGGTCGCGTTTACTCTCTTTGAACTAGCAATAAACTTCGAATCAGTTTTGATAGGCGTCAGAATGAGCAACAATTCTATGTCGTGGCAATTTTCCCAAAGTCTTGCTTTCATTCACCGAGGTACAGAGACAGACACAGAACCGTGCGTGAATCAAACTTTGAAATTGATAGCGTTGCCAAGTATCGCTTCGAATTTGCCAAACTTCGCGTATCCTTCGCTAACCCTCGGCCCTACCTTGACTCTCGTATCTTCTCCTATAATTAATCACCACTTAGAAGGTTTCAGTTCCATTTTATCGACTTCGATTCCGAACAGCTTTACCAGTTTCAAGCGTGCAAAACGTCAGATCAATACTCCGCGCATACGCCATTATTATTGTTCGTGAAGACTCGTTTTAAAAAATAAGAAAATTGTCAAGTTTTTTTTTCTCGAGTGTTAATTTTTATATACGGATTAATTACTGTGGCGGTTGACTGCTGGAGGCTGTTTTGCAATCGCGAGGCGTTCGCTTTATCATTTAGCTTTATATTCGAACATTTACCAAGATTAATTTATATATCACGTTTGATTTGGAATTTTTTAAATTTTCAAATATTTTGCGTTGGATATTTTGGATCTAGAAATTCTGTAATTTAGTCATTTAAAAAATTGATCACTTGGAAGCTTGAAAAATTTAGAAAGTTGAATAGTAGAATTTTTTGAACGTATAACAAAATTTTAAATTTAGAAATTTATTAATTTGAAAATTACTTGAATATATGAGATCATAACGAAATTATGTTGAGTAAATAATAAAACAGTTTCAAATAGTTAACCGCCATTGTATGTTAAGTAATAAGAGCCGAGGGTAAATTGTGAACGAAAAAGTTTCATGAATTTTTTTAGCCAACATTTCGTCTGCATTTGTCTCGCGATTATTTTCGAAACACGATACAGAACAACATTACATATCGTAAATAATACATAAATCATTGCTTTCGAATTATTCTGAATTTTGTGATTTAAAAAAAAGATCGCGTTAAACCGAAGAACGAAATGCGGACGAAAAGTTAAAACAGGGATCAAATACCAATTATTGTATCTAGAAACGTAGTTCTCGACTTTGATAAAATCCTGAAATAGCGAAAAAACTGCCAATATATTGTTTCACACATCGTAATACCTTCAGGACAAGCATTTGATAAGTTTCGATTTTACAATCTTCGAAATAAGCATCCGTTTAGTTGGCGTAATTAGGTGGGGACCAGGGTGGGTTTAGAAGTGGATTAGGATACCTTATATTAAAAATTTAGACTTTTCCATATTTTCTGAGTTCTCAAATCTTTTGAAGGACTCATTCAGAAATTATCAAATTTCTGGATTTCTAACTTTCAAATTTTAATATTTCTTTGAATTCTCAAATTCGCAAGTTCTCAAATTTTTAGAATTCCTAAACTTTCAAATTCCCAAGCTAGCAAGTGTTAAATGTTAAATTCCTAAATTCTCAAATATCAAAATTTCCAAATTCCCAAATTATCAAATTCTCAAAATTGTTAAGTCCCCAAATCCCTAAATTTTCAATCTCCAAATCCCCAAATTATCAAATTCTTAAAATTGTCGAATCCCAAAATCCCTAAATTTTCAATCTCCAAATCCCCAAATTATCAAATTCCCAAACTTGTTGAGTCCCCAAATCCCTAAATTTCTAAACCCTCAAATTCCCAAAATTGTTGAGTCCCCAAATCCCTAAATTTCCAAACCTTTAAATTGCCAAAATTGTTGAGACCCCAAATCCCTAAATTTCCAAACCCTCGAATTCCCAAAATTGTTGAGTCCCCAAATCCCTAAATTTCCAAACCCTTAAATTGCCAAAATTGTTGAGTCCCCAAATCCCTAAATTTCCAAACACTTAAATTCCCAAAATTGTTGAGACCCCAAATCCCTAAAATTTCCAAACACTTAAATTCTCAAAATTGTTGAGTCCCCAAATCCCTAAATTTCCAAACCCTCGAATTCCCAAAATTGTTGAGACCCCAACCCCCCAAATTATTAAATTCCCAAAACTGTTGAGCCCCAAATCCCCAAATTATCAAACCTCCCCAATTCCTAAATTTTAGAATCACCTCCAAACCTTAAAATTCCCTAATTAGTAAGTTCCCAAACTCAACACAAATTTCCCAATTTGTAACCTCCCAATTTCTCAGTCGATCAATTTCCAAAACTCAAAACACCAGCTGTCGTGCAACACCACCATTAAATCTAGAATAGCAGTCCCACCCCAGACAAAAGTCCTACTTACGCCAATGTTACGTTAAAGTAGAAGCTTCGAACATGCGTACAATGTGTTTTTCTTATTACACGTAACAATTCACGTGAAACATAATCGCGTGACACCGGTATCGATTAAAGGAAAACGGTAGACGAACGAGAATAAGAAAAAAGAAAGTATGATAAAAGAAGTCACGACACACCGGCTTATTTCGATCGAATCGCTCACTTATATTTTCTTTTTCCCCCTTTCTTTATATTGTACATTCATCGTCACCATTTACGAAACCTTTTTCCGATCTGATTTCACTTCCCCGAAATTTTTGTCGCGTAAATACGCTATCAGACCTAACAGATAGTCAATCGTAGGTATTTAATAATTCACGATTCACGACTTATTAAACGAAGAAAAAGAAGTTAGTCTAATATAAGGAAGAGAAACGATATTGTACGTTAAGAGGATAAAAAGAATTCGAGGAGAAACGTTCTCGATGATCCTCGAGTTTCATCAGCGACGACATACAAGAGAAAGAGAGAGATAAAAATCTATCGGCAATTTGATCTCTTTCAGAATAAGCAACACGTTAAAAAATAGAGACGTAAGATCCGTAGGATAATAGATGATAAGACTTTAATACTCGAAACCAATTCGATCTGCGCGACACGTTTTATGGCGTGTAAGTATATCTCGACATCGATATAGTAATATCTGCCATAGAAAATCTCTGTGTACATCTTTTTGTAACTTAAGTTCGCTGCGAATTCGTTGTTCTTTTAATCGTAGTCGTAACTTTGCGTCGACTCGTAGATTTTAAAAGTTTCGGTGCGTTGCTTGGACGTCCCCCGATCCGCCATTTTAACAATTTTGTGTCCTCACTTCGAACGATTTATTCGCAAGATCCGTTGAAACCGAATTTTAATAAAAATCCACAATTGAAATATCGACTGTTTGGTGTCTGTATTATGCTCTGTCGTATTCTCATCAACCATATAGCGATAAAAGGGAAAGAGAAAGTATATAGAAAGAGAACGGATAAGTATGGAGGATGGAAAGCGAATCTAGAAGTAATTCTTGAACCACGTAGCAATTATATCTTCGTTAAGGTCTCGATGACAATATTTTTTAGTTCCGTAACACAAAAAGAAACTCTGCTACAGAAGCGCGTGTAATTTACACACGTTGGTTGCATGCGTGTAATATATAAGTCTGATTATTATTATAAAGACCAATTACGTCGTTCTAATTATATACTCGTCTATGATCTACTGTTCGTAGATTTACCATCGAAGAAAGATAATAGGCTGCGATGACATATATGCAGGGTCGTATTATTAGGCAAGTTACGAAATAAAGAAAAATACAGAAATCCAAGTGTTTTAAATTTTAAATACTTCTAATTTTCGGTGCTTTATCCTTCAATTTTAAATATGCAATTAAGACTTCATAACGTTTCAAATATGAAAGATAAATTTATCATAATTCGCAAAGGGTATCAAGTATAGAAACTATTTAAACATTCAACATTTCAATGTTTAAATACTTCAAACTCCAGAAGCTTTTGTATTATTCATCCATATATTTATAGCTGTTACCTTCCATACATTAGTTGTACCTTTCATATATTTATTTGTAGCCATATTTTTCATACATCCGTAACTTTTTCACGCATTCTGTTATTTTTATAACAGAAACGAATTTATCATTCAGGATATTAAGCTCGAATGTTACAAATATGTATGAGTTATACCTGTGAACAGGTCCACAAAGTAATGTAATGAGATTTTAGACAACCCTTTACGGCCCTGCGTGTATGTACATTTATCCCTAGCAAGAAGTATCGAAGGGAAAGGAGACTTTAGACGAGACAGATTATCGATCAAACGTTCGTCGTTTAAATTTCTTTGTAATGTGAAGATACAAGAACGTATATACAAGAACAGATATATACGTACAACATGAAACAAAATCGATTCCGCCTATTTGCTTCCCTTCTAATTGGTTATCGCAACGAACACCCCAGTCATCTTTCGAAAGGAGATAACTTGTTTGCGACATTGTCGTGACGTACGTGCGAAATTGGTTTTACTCGATCGTATCAATCAAGCCAAGTAAAGCCGATCAAATTCCAGAGGAGAGACTCTGTTGCAATGTTTCCAGTCGGCTTTACTTCTCTTTTTTGTCATGTTTACCGCTAAAAACAATCCTTCGGAACTGTCCTTGTGATCTGACGAAACACCAAAGGTGAGTTCGTTGAAATAAAAAAAAAAGTCTACACGAATTTCAATAAAGCTGCAGAGTCTTTAGCCGATGCATTCTAGCATTCATTCCGCCCGCGGAGATTATTAATTTTTCAAAGATCCTTGGGTCCCTCGTGTTTCAGTTTGCAAGTGAAAGGAGAAATTATTCGGCGGACGCTGGTGTAACGATTTGGGGAGCAAGGGGAGGCGTAGGAGATTTGGGAATTTGGGGATTTGGGGGCTTCGAGATTTGGGGATTTGGGAGCTTGGAAATTTGGAATTTGGGGACTTCGAGATTTGGGGATTTGAGAGTTTGGAAATTTGGGAATTTGGGGGCTTCGACATTTGGGGATTTGGGAGCTTGGAAACTTGGGAATTTGGGGGCTTCGAGATTTGGGAATTTGAGAGCTTGGAAATTCGAGAATTTGGGGTCCAGAGGAGAGACTCTGTTGCAATGTTTCCAGTCGGCTTTACTTCTCTTTTTTGTCATGTTTACCGCTAAAAACAATCCTTCGGAACTGTCCTTGTGATCTGACGAAACACCAAAGGTGAGTTCGTTGAAATAAAAAAAAAAGTCTACACGAATTTCAATAAAGCTGCAGAGTCTTTAGCCGATGCATTCTAGCATTCATTCCGCCCGCGGAGATTATTAATTTTTCAAAGATCCTTGGGTCCCTCGTGTTTCAGTTTGCAAGTGAAAGGAGAAATTATTCGGCGGACGCTGGTGTAACGATTTGGGGAGCAAGGGGAGGCGTAGGAGATTTGGGAATTTGGGGATTTGGGGGCTTCGAGATTTGGGGATTTGGGAGCTTGGAAATTTGGAATTTGGGGACTTCGAGATTTGGGGATTTGAGAGTTTGGAAATTTGGGAATTTGGGGGCTTCGACATTTGGGGATTTGGGAGCTTGGAAACTTGGGAATTTGGGGGCTTCGAGATTTGGGAATTTGAGAGCTTGGAAATTCGAGAATTTGGGGCCTTCGAGATTTGGAAATTTGAGAGCTTGGAAATTTGAGAAATTGGGGACTTCGAGATTTGGAAATTTGAGAGCTTGGAAATTGGAGAAATTGGGGACTTCGAGATTTGGAAATTTGAGAGCTTGGAAATTGGAGAAATTGGGGACTTCGAGATTTGGAAATTTGAGAGCTTGGAAATTTGAGAAATTGGGGACTTCGAGATTTGGAAATTTGAGAGCTTGGAAATTTGAGAAATTGGGGACTTCGAGATTTGGAAATTTGAGAGCTTGGAAATTTGAGAAATTGGGGACTTCGAGATTTGGAAATTTGAGAGCTTGGAAATTTGAGAAATTGGGGACTTCGAGATTTGGAAATTTGAGAGCTTGGAAATTTGAGAAATTGGGGACTTCGAGATTTGGAAATTTGAGAGCTTGGAAATTTGAGAAATTGGGGACTTCGAGATTTGGAAATTTGAGAGCTTGGAAATTTGAGAAATTGGGGACTTCGAGATTTGGAAATTTGAGAGCTTGGAAATTTGAGAAATTGGGGACTTCGAGATTTGGAAATTTGAGAGCTTGGAAATTGGAGAATTTGAGGCCTTCGAGATTTGGAAATTTGAGAGCTTGGAAATTCTCGAATTTGGGGCCTTCGAGATATGGAAATTTGAGAGCTTGGAAATTGGAGAATTTGAAGCCTTCGAGATTTGGAAATTGGAGAATTTAGGAACTTTGAGAGCTTGGACATTTGTTACAACAAAAATTTGAAAATTTCCACATTCAAAAATTTGGAGTTAGAGTTCAAATTAAAATTAAATACCATACCTAAAAGCAAGAGTATCAAACGCACCCCAAAATAAAATCCTAGTTACACCAATGTCAGCAGAATACACTGACCTCTTCTGACTATACTTTACCAGAAATGAATTTATAACTATAACGAGTAGGAAGATTTTATATTTATAATTATAATATTATTCCCTTACACCCTCTTTTGGATTCTCCCTTCCTACAGCCCCAACAGGAACGCGTGTCTTCCTGGCTTTGTGAAACCCTGCATTATCCTGCAGGACGAGAAAAGGTGAGCCCATTAGTTCTTCTTTACACGGACACGTAATGTTTAACTTTCAAAGTAATTGCATTAGCGTTGAATTAGCGAATGGGAAGACTGTTCGAAGGAAAGTTTAATGGTACTTTGATCGTGATCGGAGAGATAGAAGATTCAGATTATCGTATATGGTGGGTATAAAGGTATTTGTACATCCTTTGAAATAGAGTCTCTTCTTTTAAAGTTGAAGCAAATAATTCGATACGTATAGAAGACATTTTTTCAAATTAATAATACAAAAAGAAGGTACTTTAAAGACATACAATTTTGCATATTTAAAATTTTTTAATTTAAATATTTTTAACTTTGCAAATTCATTTAAAGCTTTGTAAATTTGTAAGTCTGAGAATTTAAAAGTAAATTTTTTAATTTGAAAATGTAGTAAATTAGCCTCGAATGTTTTTAACTTCTAGCTATTTAATTTTCTACATTTTTTCCGAGCTGTTTGCTCCAATTTTAAGAAAGTTTTGTTTTGAAATGCGTGCGAATCCACCACTAATTTTGTGTATGTTTTTTACGTCTTTTTAGAGAACATTTTTATCGTATTTTTCAGTACATGATAAACGATATTTCATGTTGCAGCGCATGATTATTCGGTTTAATGACGTTGATTGTAACTATGATTAATTATGGACTTCTTCGTAATACTGTTCAACTTTCCAGAGAAGAAAAGGTCTTGCACAACGAACCATAAATTAACATCAGTGAACATAAATTATTGTTAAGTTCAATTTCAACATACCAATTAATGTGTGTTTTTGTACATACAATATATAAGACAAAATCTAAATCTATGTTGAGCATTTAAGTAGAAAAATTATTATCTTTTGTTCAATAATTATAAAGAATTATGTTATTAAAATTAACATTTTAATTTGAAAAACTGAGAAAATAAATTTTTATATAAACCACAATTATCATTTGTATGATAGAGTAATAAAGAAGGAATCAATTACTCCTAAGGAAGATATCATTTGGTGTATAACAATAAAAATATAAGTAGAAAGTCTTTGCTACGCATAATCGTTACAAACTGTCAAGACAGAAAAGGTTTATTAAACAAAATTACAGATTGTTGACTATTTAAACAAAGTATCGTGTCATTATACATGTATGTATATAACACCATAGAAAGATTAATACATTATAATAAATGGATTTGAAAGTGATTAATAACATAATCTTTTTCAAGTTATAGAATATAATAAGATTTATTGATATTAAAATAAGACGGTATTTAAAAACACTGTAACAATATTTTAAACAAATTCTTGGAAATTAAATAACGAGTTCTGTTTATCTTGACGAATGTCTGCGATCATGTATAGAGAATGGTATATTTCAAATGAATAAAAAAAAACATAAACCTTTGTGTATATAAACATGTGTGTTATGTTACATGAATTGCCTTTTTTTCGTTTTAGTTAATCGTCTTTGGCAAGCTTTGAATGATTTTTTTTTTGGTAAATGTGTATCGCATCTTCATTCGTATAATTACGCATAATCGGGTCCCTTTTCTTATTATATAACTATAATTTATTGAACAAACGAAATATTGTAAATTGAATTAACATTATACAACATACTAATTTATCTGTAAAAATCTTAAAATTTAATATATGTATATATTTATATTTATATATATACTAATTTATATAAATCTTTTGTGTTGAAGGATTTATGCAAACAAAATTATTTGAAATAATATTGCTTTTATCATTATTTGTTGCTGACCGCGTGTTAACTGAATGCACCAACAATCCTTTTGCATTTTATTTTTAACAACAAAATTTTTTAAACATTCTCGTATACGTGCACGTATACTTACATGGAATCATTATGTACAGGACGTTTCATAAAATGTGATAAATTTTGGAAATAAAAGATTCTTCGATTAATATTACGATCCCAATTGTTTTTATGCTTTGCCACATTAATCGCTAATTAATCAAATTATGAAAGATTACGAATCAATACAGTTATAATACATTTACACTTTAATGTTTTATAATTTTCGATCATTTGCTATGTACACGATTACCCTATTATTTACTAAGTATTCACAAAGTTTTACCATTATTTGTATTAATCAACAAGTACTTTTATAAAACTTTCAACTTTGTTGAATTATTATCTTTTTACTTTCAAAAAATATATACCCATAATTTTACATTACCTTAGTTCTAGATTATGAATCTCTTATTTCCTGAATGTAACACACATTAAAAAACACCTTGCAATACTCATGATATACATACGTAGATTACACAAGATATGTTTAGCTTGTAACAAATTAAATTAAATTTACAGAAATGGACAAGAGGTAATTGTATTATATAACTGTGAATCAAATGCTTCGATAAAAAATTTTATAAAAAAGATAACTACTCTCTAAGCATAAAGAATTATAACATTTACATACAGTTTGAAAATATTAAACATTAATTAATTGTATATGGAGCCCTTTTACAGTTAATAATACCTTTTTCGAGGTAATATAAATCTAGATAACAAAAAATATATATTTTACAGTACGATTACATTACTATAATTTTAAATAGATCGTGATCTTCGTACAGATTACATGGTAATCTGTACCACGAGACTTATCAAACTGGATCACTCTTCTCGTAAAACTGATAAACATTTTTTGAGCAATTCCGCATGTGCCTATAAACAAAATAAAGCAAATATTTTCTACATTCACATTATATAATTAAAAAGCACAATAATATAATAAATACCATTTCTTGTTTTAAATCGTAATAGTGATAAAAAAATAAAAAAATAATTCTTACTTTTGCATGTTTTATTTCTAGTTCGGTTAATTCAATTAGGTTCTTTCTAAAAGCAGTTACTCTCCTTGTTTTGAAATCCATTAGCTCTGTAATCAGAATTAAAATGAAATCCACTGTAATTGTTGAAATAAAGAGATAATATGACACGTACCTTCTTTTCCTTTCTCCGACATTTGTTCAAATTTCTCGCATGCTTCCGTTTGAGCTTGTTCCGCCTGAATAAAACAGAGATAAAAACAATTTCAAATGTTTAACAAATGAATATTTAATACGATATAAAGTTTCCTTTAGCACATGTAAATTCCGAGTTCCTTCCACGTAAAAATACATGCAAATTCTGCTCATGCATAATCAATATAATGACGGTTCACGGAATAACCGTTTATTGCAATTTTAAAAGTCTTTCTGTTGAAAAAACCATTTTAAGGTGGCAATAACATTCTAATGTTGTTTATAAATATAAATGCAACTCATAAAATAAAATAATTATTTTTACATACGCAATACATATATCATTTTAAATTTCCCGCGTTATCGGTTCTGTACAAATTTGGTTAAAAATCAAAATTTTATTTAAACTAGTAGGCACTACTGCAAGGCGGCAAACATACAAATGGAGATAAAAACACACCTCTGCAACCTCCACTGCCTTGATGAGCAAAAAAAATGGAATTTTTCATTAGGTATTCGTCGATTATTGTATGATATATACAGGATGTCTCAAAGAAGATATACGCCATGATAACTATAAGTTTTCTAGCAGAAGAATATTAATTTACAAATGTTACAACTTTGAACTTTAGAATTTAGGTGTTTGGAACTTTATGGATTTAAGATTAGGTTAGGTTAATTTGGGGACTTGAAGTGTTTGCAGTTTTCATGGTACACATTTGTGCTGAGACACTCGGTATATACATACGTATACTATAGGTGATATCTATAATACATAAGCATGTATTTTCCTTTCCGATAAATTCTACATTTCTCTAGTTCTACAAATCTATCTAAAAAAGTATATTTACTTACAGCATGAACATCTTTATTTTTGGCACGAGCTTTTTCAAGAGCGCGATTTGCAGTTTCATACGCGTGTAAAGCTTTCAATCTTCTAAACAAAAGCCGTTTAGCAGCAGCTGTATCCCTCATGTAGTAACGAAGCGTGTCTGACAATTTTAAATCTTCGTCAGATGCTACCCGTCCTTCAACTTTCTATTATATTGTAACATTACAAATATCGATAATACGTTATATGTACCATGAATAGCACGCAAGATAAAATAAAAGGTATTAAAATCTTACCCTTAATTTTTCAAACGTTTCTGCAATTTTCGTTAAAAATCTTTCTAGTTTACCATTATCAGTTGTGGCTAATTGTAAAAGATTTGTAGAAATTTTTATATACGAATCTGCTACATCTTTGTGTTTAGCGGTTTGTCTATCTGCCCGAGCCGTCGCTTCTTTTAAATTATGGTGATACGTTTGCAGAAATGACATTTCCTGATCAAAAAAGTCATTTACATCTTTCACAGTTGCTGACAAATAGTATTCATCTGTAGTGGTTGAAAATGATTTTACTAGACCACCAAACATTTCCATTTTATTTTTTCCTAAAAGAAAGTAGACACACCTTCTATATACTTTACCAATAAAAAAATTTATTAAGAGCAAGTTGTATTAAAGCAACAATCAAAATTTTTACCTCTCACACAAAGATCTTGATCATACTCTAAAAATACTCTTAAATTATGATCATTTCGAAAAACTGGATGATGTGCTAATCTAGTTAAAAACATTTCATGCATGGCAACAGTTTTCTTAAATGTAGCCAAATATTCGCTGCAAAAAATGATATAAATTTGTATTTGTATAAATTGTTTATCAAAGTACTAATACTTGAATCTATTGCAAGTATTTTATATAAAACTTACGCTTCCAGTTCTTGTTTCATTTTGTTAAATTCTTCACGAGTCATGTTACCCTCACCCTCCCCAAGTTTCTGTAACTTTTCACGAGAGGCATCAAAATCTGGTCTTGGTGGACAAGGAGGAATCTAAAAGTACATAATTTTTCTGTACATTACTTAATACTATGGTTGTATAATTATGAAACATTCAAATGGGAAAGAAAGAAAAAAACATACAATGTAACCAGCATATTCCTCATTCTCTTCAAATCGGTCATGTAACCATACAAATTCTTCATGTTGCCTTACAACTAAGTTATCTGGTTTTTGGAATTCAGGTAGCGTGGTTTTTGTATGTACTGTAAACTTTACTTTATCCTTTTCGCTGAGGGCATCTGAAATATCCACTTGTAGCGATTTATCAGAGAGGTCTACATTGTCAGCATGAATTGTCTGTAAATATAAATATTAGAATTAAATTATAAAATACAAATAGAAACGACAAGTAGACAATTATTAAATTTTAAAGAGAAACTGTCATTTTGGAACTGAAAAAGAAATAAAAAGAAAACTAATGTGAGTACCTTTTTAGGAGGAACGTTATTTAAAATGTCGGCAGTGTCACATATGCCGTCCTGAAACATTTTCTTGAATTAAAGATTATACAAAGTAGGTTTATAATACAATGGAGTAAACTAGGCGGTATTAAATTCGTTGAGAAGGCAAATCGGTGGATAAGTGATAACAGGTTCCACCTACCATCATGGCGTCCAAGCGTCTATTTGACACGTTCTATGTTTCACCGATATATGACTGCACAAATTAAACCAATGATGGTTCAAATTGTATAAATTTAAAATTAATGTAATACGAAGAATAAATGTTATTGATTTTGAATATATATTTGTTTTAAAATAATCACTAATAGAAAACTTTCAGACGGTAAAACACGTTTCACCGAATCATAATGTGTCAGAATGCAGTATGTTAAAAACATATGTTGATAAATCAGCTGTAAAGAAGAGAGAATAAAATTCAATGTATCAGAATTTTCATAAAATAAATAAAATATAGACTACATAAATACTAAAGTACTTCTGTTCAAATATATTAATAATTCGTAATTTGATCTTTGGTAAAAAAAGAATAATTTATTCATTTATTCACTGTTTAAACTATATTAGAAGTAACATTAAATACCCATGTATTTATGATTAAAAATCAAATTAAAATAGTTTGAAAGTTATTAAACTAGTAGTCAATATCTTATTTTTAATTTGAATATAAATTAATACATAGGATGTGCTGTAAATCCAAATGTTTTTAAAAAATTGTTAAAGCCTTACATTCCCAAGTTTCCAAATTTTTCAAAGAGGCAAATTTTTAAATTGTCAATCTCCAATTTTTCACCATTTATAAAGTTTGTCCACCGTGTATATGAAATAAAGTAACATAGTTTGGGACTCCCCCAATGAGCAACCTTCTGAATTTTGATAAACTGTATGAAAAGACCTGATCGTCTGTAAAGTATAGTCCGTGTAGCCCATGTGACCGACCATTTGATTTGTCATTACAAACATATTAACTTTAATCAATATTTTATCTTAATAATATTTACTGTTCCATACCTGTTTTATTGTAAGTTGTTATTATTAATTATACTTTACACACATTTTATTTGTTTCATTACAAGGAAAACTGTTTTGGTTTTAAACTTCATTTTGAATACGTCTCAATTAATCAGTATTAAACCAACTTATGTTAATATATAGATTAACTTAAATCGTTCCAGTTCGATGTTGTTAGATTGCATATAGACTGACTGACATGTATTTGTATGTAATATTTATTTTTTTGTTTATTTAGGTTATGACAAAGAGTAAGTCATATAATAAATATTCATGTATATGCAGTTCATTAGGTCATACCTGTATCAATATTGTATATTTACATAATATTTCTAACATTTAATTTATCAAATTATAATAAACACCTTTTTAGTTTTAGCCATGGCAGATGAATACGATAAATTATCATGGAAAGGTAAATGAATGAAAAATGTATTTTAATAGTTTGCACATTTTAATCAAATTTATCAATCCCTTGTAGAAGTAAGAGATTTATTTAGAACATGGAGAGAAGACAATGAACGGCGAAGTAAAGATGTTGTCGATTTATGGGAATCAAAGTTAATGGGAAAAATTGATCAACTTGGCAATGAAAGTAAGGCAAAGTATTTCATGAGTATTTATTTATTATGCTTCTGATAACTTTGTTACTTTCCTAGAATATCTGGTATTGGAGCAAGTTTGTGTGGCAGCATTGGATTGTTATCGGCTTTCTTTAGCAGAATGTTGTATTAAAATATTAAAGAGAGAATTTCCTAGCAGTTTAAGAGTTCATAAATATCATGCCATGCATTTGGAAGCCCTGGAAATGTAATGTTTCTTTATAAAGCAGTTGTTTTATATCATATGATTAAGTGCTACAAAGAAAATTAAAATTATATTTATAGGTATAATGAAGCATTAGAAGTTTTGGATTCTATTATAAAAAGAGATGAAACTAATGCAGCACCAAGGAAACGTTATATAGCTATATTAAAAGCAAAATGCAGAATACCAGAAGCTATTAAAGAGCTTACAGAATATCTAAAGAAGTTAGTATTCATATGTAATATCATTGGTATATCACTATATTAATTACATAAATTACATTTTATAGATTTATGAGTGATCAAGAAGCCTGGCATGAATTATGTGATTTGTATTTACAAGAACAAGAATATTCTAAAGCTGCATTTTGCATGGAAGAACTTATCTTGCATAATCCACATAGCCATTTAATTTATCAGAGATATGCAGAAATAAAATATTCTCAGGTAATAAATAACATTATTTGTAGCTCAAATTATGACGAATATTAATGAATATTTATTTATTTTTAGGGCGGATTTGAAAACATGGAGTTAGCAAAAGCATACTTTTGTCAGGCAGCAAAATTAAATCCAAATAATATTAGAGCTTTATATGGTTTACTATTGGTAAAAGCAACTACATTTGACAAGTAAAATTTTGTTTATGAAATTCTAATTCGTATATGTTTTTAGGCATCAAATAATATTGCTACATCTCCTAAATGTCCTTCTTCTAAAAAGAAAGATGCAATAAAATTAAGTGAATGGGCAGCTAATCAAATTGAGGAACAATATAAATCAAAAGTTTCGGATGACCATATTGATGCAGTAGAAGGATTATTAGGACAATTACAACTTGAAGTATAGAAACAAGAATTTATATGTACATGTATGTTTAAATTTTTTAACGTGTGTAAATGTACTGTCCACTCTTCACAATATATACATATGTAACTTATTACAATTCCAACAGAAATTTTTACATAATAATTGTTGATTAAGCTTACACAGTTATAAACTATTTATTATGCAAAATACAGAGAAATGTACTTTGCTTGTTATTTATTAATTGAAAGACATGACTGAGAATCATGAAGAAATGTAAAGATTATTAATTAAAAAATATAAAAAATCCTTTTATTTTCAGTTAAAAGACTATTTCAGTATTAAATTTATTACACATTCGTGTACAATTTGTGTAATTCTTTAAAACGCATTTATAACCATAAATGGCAAAACATGAATGAGAAATGTATTCTCAAAGAAGAAATTTGAAGGATAAAATAAATATTTGTTACACGTAAAATAATTACAGAGTCATCTTTGTGCATTCTCTTTATTATTCTGTTCCCAAAGCTCTCTGTTCTTTGCTTTTTCTACAGCTTTCTTCTGTCGTTTTTCTTTTCGACTTTCGTTTCTTAATGCAAAATATTTTTCTCGAAAATCGATTAAGTTTGTAGAAATTACTTCATCTGACTCCTAGGACATAAAGTAAAAAGTTTAGTTAACTGTTTCTATATACACGTAAATATTTTTCGATTTATATTTACCTTTGGATCTTTTATTTTTTTATAAGTTAATAACCTTCGACTAGTATAATTACTAAGTACTTGTTCTGAATTTGCTATTAATTCTAAGCATGGGTGTGTTGGTAAATGCTGTTCTGAATACTGATCCCTAGAAAAATTAGTAAAAATATGTAGTTTTTTATTTAAAAAAATGAAATGATTAAATATGTTTTACCTAAACAGAGGGAACCAACACACAAGTCTGCCATGTATTTCAAGATGCTTGGCCGAAAAACTCAACAAATCCGTATATATTTGAGTTAAATCATAACCAATTTTAGATGGTATATGAGATGATGCTTGATGTTCTTCTATTACTGGGTTTACTTTTGTTGTACCTATTCTTTCTGTTGCTTCTCTTATACCATAAGGAGCTATAATAATTTGTATTTTTATAATCAGACACATGCTTGAATAATTAGTAATACAAATTTTATTATTTGTCACCAACGTACGATCGGTAATTATAGCGTTGATTCGCATATCCGTACGCCATAAAGCGTAAGAAAAATCGGACACAACAACATCGAGATAATATGATCGTATCCCATACTGACTCATATTTGCGGCAATACTTTCATCTTCTTCCCTAATCTGTAATTATTTCCATAAGAATAAATTTTCTTTTAAAGGAATTAATTCTTTACCTTTTGAGTGATTCGAGTTGGTCTTGTACGTCCATGAAGCATTAGAAAATCTATATCTGTTCCTAATGTATACCCTCCAAAATGAGAAGCAGCAACTAACAAAGACCCAGTACCAACAAAAGGATCAAGAACAATATCTCCTTTCTGAACTTGAGCCTGATTTGCCATTATTAGTGATAACTGAGGATCCATGGAAGTGTTACCTATAAATTTTCTAGTTTTCAAGGATAATTTCCTAATTAAATCTCTCTGTCCACTAGTAATCTATAAATACATTACTTTAGGTATATAATAATCAGTCATGGAATTTAAATAATGCTTTACAAAAATTCTCACCCATCTACCAAAAAATAATTCATAAGGTTTCTCAGGAATGTCATTGGGATTTAATCCATAAAATTCTACATAACATAAAGTTGTATCTGGATTATTCAATCTCACTGGCCCTTCCAGAGGTAAATAATTGAAAGCCTTTTAAACAATTTAAACAATTAATCAAGACAAACAATAAAGTAAGCTATTTAATACTGTAAATAAAAACTGTGTTCATATATTTACCTCGATTTTATTTACTTTTTCACGTTGTGGAAAGTGTTTACAAAAGGTTTCAACCTTTATTTTAAATGATTTATTTTTCCCAGCATGCTTTTTTATTTCTGTTACTGGATAAGATTTTAATTTACTATGCAGCTCTTCCAATGTTTTGCTATTTGCCCATAATTCCATACAGAATTTAACACAAACTGCTCTACTTGATATTTGATGTGCAATAGTCTCTGAAGGTAAATTAATTATCCAATAAGGCTATAATAAAAATGATATGTAATACAAATAAACATATATTATAACAGATAATAATTTCATTTCTTACATTTTCTTTCAAATTAGGGCTAACATTGGTGTCTGTATTGAACATACTTAGGATAGACTTCATTTCCTGAAAAGAAAAAAGTTAGCAAACATATGAAGAATTTAAGTAAGTAAATATAGACTCACTTACAGCTTCTCGAAAGTCAATATGCTCATGGGCAAACCAAAATAAATACTTTTTCCATTCAGAATTCATTATTGTTTTATATTTATTCCAATTCAATTTCATCACACTTCCTATATTATAAAAATAATTTGACTAAATTGAAATTGTGTGCAGAAAGTATGTGCTTCTTTTTTCAAATTAATTCCATAGTGTAGTCATTTATTTAGATTTGTATCACATTGTCAGGTTTATGAGTTCAAGTGGTTTTTTGAACATTTGCTCTTACATTTTAATATAAGTATTAAAAGACGAGTGTAATGTAATACAATATATTACATGTATGTAAACAAAACAAAAAAAATGAAAAAAGTATCAAAAATATAAGATCATATAATTTATGACTTTAACCAACGTGATCAACACGTACAAATACTCTTTAATAATACATTATAATGCGCATGCCTACTTGAAGCCATAGATAAATAAAACACTGTAAGATATCGCTTATTATTGAAAAACTGTATTTCAATTACACTGCTGTTTTTGTTTTATGTCACACGGATTTAACAAAATATTACTGTAATTTATTTTCGCTTAACATCGATAAACATTTTAATGAATAAAATGATTAGTATCAAAAGGGAAATGAGAGTGTTCAGGCCTAAAATTTTGGTACCCGCGAGATTTTGATAAGAACATGTAATATATTAAAAATAAGTAGATCATGAATATTCATAATGGAAAAAACTGAGAGTGGAGTAGAAATAGAAGAAAGGAAATGATGAATAAAATAATGCAGTGAACGTAAAATTTTAATAAACGATTATTGAAATTCTGCGTTTAGAATAGTTGATAAGGTAGAAAACGATTATTTCATAATCGGTAGATGGAGAAGATCACGGCTAATAGAACAGTATCCGAGGGGGCGCTATATTCGTAGTAACACTTCTTGTTGTTCTCATTCTAAGGTGGAATACCACTCGTCACTGTTTTCTGTTGTGTTTTTAGGCTGGAATCGGGCGAAAAACATGCCGTTTCGATAATCGAATGAGGAACAAAAGGCTCTTGAGAAGAGTTATTATATCCAGAATTAAGGAGGGTGTTGTATCGCGGATGTGTGTGAACGGTGCAGGTGTAATTTAATAAGAGCAGGGGAGGCTAGCGATTTAATAGGATATTGATTTGTCCGCGACTGCCTTGCTGGCTCCATCGCACACACGAACCAGGTAGCCATGAACGTCGATATTTTTGGGGCACTGCCTGGTGCAACGTGTCGACTATGCATATGCCGTGCTCTAATGTGTTTGCAGGCCTGATAAAGCCCAAAATGCAGCCAGCCATTGACGATATGTGTTAACGATATTAGTCAAATTACGGTTTACAACGACTACGTTTCTACAGTCATAACGACCATCACGACGGCAACCAAAACGGCGACAACGACGACGACGGT